GAACTCTCGGACCCATGATGAACCATGTCCCCGGAAGGTTGTCTGGGGACATGATTTCTTGGGGTGTGTTGGGGGGCCTCTTGGGCGTTCCCTGGGAGCCCCTTGGGGGTCTCCTGGGGCTTCCTGGGGGCCTGTTGGGCGCCTCACGGGGCTCCGTGGGAGCCTCTTGGTGGCCTCCGGGGGCCTACAAGCGGCCTCTAGGGCCAGAGACCTCGAAATATCGGTTGGCGGTCCCCTTCTGGGCCCTCTCTTGGGGAGCTCTTGGGGCACAGTTGGGTTGTCTGGGGAACCTCCTGGGCCGTCTTGGGGCCCTCTTCGGGGCCTCCTGGCCCGTCTTGGAGCGATCTGACGGGCCTCCGAGCGAGGCCGTGAGGGAGCGCTGGGAAGTGGGGAAAGCGAGAACGCTTAAATCCTTCAAAAACCATCGGATAATTAGTGAATCTTGCCTCCCAGGGCCCTCTTGGGGAGCCTCTTGAGTCCGTCCTGGAGCATGTTCGAGTCCTCGTCGGCCGTCTTGAGGGCAGCTCGGGGCCTCTTGGGACCGTCTAGGGCCCTCTCGGGACCTCCATAAGCCTGTCGTGGCCTGCTTCGGGGCGAGCCCGGGCCGCCTCGGGACCCCTCTGGGCCTTCTCTTGGCGCGCTCTTGGGGCACACTTGGGTTGTCTGGGGAGCATCCTGGGCCGTCTTGGGGCCCTCGTCGGGGCCTCGTGGGCCTTCTTGGAGCGATCTGAAAGGCCTCCGAGGCCGTGAGGGAGCGCTGGAAAGCGGGAAAAGCGAGAACGCCAAAATTCAAAACACTCGGAAAACGAGTGAATCTTGCCTTCCAGGGCCCTCTTGGGAAGTCCGTCCTGGAGCGTGTTGGAGTCCTCGTCGGCTGTCTTGAGGGCATCTTGGGCGTCTTCGGGGCCTCGTGGGACCGTCTTGGGCCCTCTCGGGGCCCCCTTAGCCTGTCATGGCCTGCTTCGGGGCGGGCTCGGGCCGCCTCGGGAGCTCTGGACCCCTCCCCCGCAACCCCTGGTGGGCACCGATGGGGGGAACAAACAGCGGCCCGCCCCCCCGCCGGGCCTACAACGAGATAGAGAATCATGTTCCCGGGAAACTCTAAGAGGGGGGCCTCTGGGGGCTTACCGAGGAGCGCCTTTTGGCCTTGTCGACAAGCCTATTGGAAACATGGTTGGGGCGGTGGGCGGAAGCCCAAGGAATCATGTTCCCGGAAAGCTATCTGGGAAATACGATTTACCTAAGTTTCTTGGGGGCCCGCAGGGGGCTTCCCTGGGGGCCCGTGGGGGCCCCTTGGGGGCCTATTGGGGCTTCCAGGGGGCCTCTTGGGAGCCTCACGGGGCTTCTTGGGAGCCTCTTGATGGCCTCCGAAGGCGTCCTAGGAGCCTCTCAGGCCGGAGACCTCGAAATGCTGCGCTCTTCGGGCCCTCTTGGGTCGCTCTTGGGGCTCTCATAGGGCGCTCTCGAGGCCCTCTTGACTTATTTGGGGAGCCTCCTGGGCCGTCTCTGGGCTTTCTTGGGAGCCTCTTCGGCCGCCTTGGAGCGATCTGGGCCTCTGACGCGGTCCGGGACCGTGGGGAGGCGGAACATGGGAGAGCGCAAGAATGCTTCAAAACCACTTGGGAAATCTATAATTTTCCGCTTCTGGGGCCCTTTGGAGGGGCCTCTGCAGGCGCTCTTGGGGCGTTTTGGCGGCGTCGTCGGCCGTCCTGAGGCCATCTTCGGCGTGTCCGGGGCCTCTGGGAGCTGTATAACCCAGAAATCATGTTCCTGGAGAGGCTTCCGGGAACATCATTTCGAACGAGGCCCTCTTGGGCCTCCCTGAGGCCGTCTTGGAGGCTCCCTGGGCCGGCTTTGGGGCATCTTGGGCCGTCTTGGGGGGTTCCGTGAGCCCCACGGGACGACCCTTTCGGGCCGTCTTGGGACCTCTTGGGTCTCTCGGGCTCCTCGGGGGCGTCTGGGGCACTGTGAAGACGAAGCAAGCGAGTATGCTGAAAATGCACGTTTTACGTAGGGAATGGGCCGATGTGTCGTCCTGGCACCGAAGACTGGCGTGGCCGCGCGGGCCGGAGGGTTGCTAATGAGAAGCCACGTTTGGCTGTGCCGCACTATGTCAAGGGGCGTTGATCTGCGTGGTAGTCGCAGTTTTAAGTTAGCTGCGCTCGCGTGGTGTGAGATTGTCTGGGGAACTGTTCCCAGTGCGGGGTCGCGGTGGCATGTGCGTTGGCTCCGCAACGTCCCGACTCCCCCGTTGGTTATCGGGGGTACCGTCTGAGTCGAACGATCAGAGGGAAGCACACCGTTACCAGAGTTTGCGGGCCTGTTAGACTGTTCCCGTCGGCGTCCTGACTAGGTTGTGTTTCACAGGCGGCGGGGGGGTGGAGTACCGGCAGGGCTCTAAGTGTTCTTGTCTAGGTTTGCCTATCGAAGGCCTATTGGCGGCCCTTCTTCGGCAATCTTCAAGCCATCTCGGGCCCCTCTTGGGGCTCGCTTAAGGCTGTCTTGTGGGACTCTGGGGCGTCCTGGAGGCCCGGAGGAAATCATGTCTGGCGGGCTTCCGGAGAACGAATTTCGAAGGCCTTCTTGGGCCTTTTCCCCTTTTGCGGAGGCGTCTTCGGGGGGCACACCTGGGCAAGCTTATCGGAGCACTAATGGCCTTCTGCGGGGGGTTCCGTGAGACCCACGGGACGATCTTTTAATAAGGTGGTACCGACCCCTCGAGCGACTTAAGCCACAGAGGGGTCGCCCTTGGGTGTCGGGGGCTCAGCGGGGGCGTAGGTCTGCGTTGAAGACAAAGCAAGAGAGTATGATGAAAATGCACGTTACGTAGGGGCAATGGGACGATGTACGAACACGGCGAGGTTGGTGTTGTTGCCTCTTGAAAGCCCTTTTGGGGCCCTCTTCGGCCATCTTCAAGCCATCTCGGGCCCTCCGGGGCCTCGCTTAGGCTGTCTTGTGGGCCTCTTGGGCGTCTGGGAGCCCGGAAATCATGTTCCTGGAGAGGCTTCCGGGAACATGATTTCGAACGAGGCCCTCTTGGGCCTCCCTGAGGCCGTCTTGGGGGCCCCCTGGGCCAACTTCGGAGCCTCTTGGGCCGTCTCGGGGGGTTCCGTGAGCCCCACGGGACGATCTTTTTGGACCGTCTTGGGACCTCTTGGGTCTCTCTTGGGCTGTCTTGGGGCTCCGCGGGGGCGTCTGGGGCACTCTGAAGACGAAGCAAGCGAGTATGCTGAAAATGCACGTTTTACGTAGGGAATGGGCCGATGTTTGCCTCTTGAAGGCCCTTTGGGGGCCCTCTTCGGCCATCTTCAAGCCATCTCGGGCCCTCTGGGGCCTCGCTGAGGCTGTCTTGTGGGCCTCTTGGGTGTCCTGGGAGCCTTGGGACTCTTTGGGGCCCTCTTGGCCCGTCCCGGGGCCCTCTGGGACCGTCTTGGGCGCTTGGGCTGTCTTGGGGCCCTCTTGGGCCGTCGAGGGTGCCTTCTGTGGCCCTCTTGGGGCTCCCTGGGGACTCTTTTGGAAACCTCTGGGGACCGTCGCGGGCCGTCGGGGGGCTCTCATGGGCCGTGTTGGAGCTCTCTTGGGCCGTCTTGGGGCCCTCTTGGGGGCCTCTTGGATCGTCTTACGGCCGTCTTGGGGGCCTTTGGGTCCGTCTTGGGCGCTGTTAGGACCGAAGAAGCGAATACGCTAAAAACGTACGTTTTCCGAAAGGAATTTGGCTGTTTTTGCCTTTTGGTGACCTTCTGGGAGGCCTCTTGGGCCGTCTTGAGGGCCTCTGAGGCCAAAAATCTCGATTTCCCGCTGGTTTGTGAAAGATTCGAATTTCTCGAGGACCTTTTCGGAAGCCTCTCGGGCACCCTTGGGGGCCTCCTGGGCCGTCTTGGAGCGCTCTTGGGGTCCTCTTGGTGCGTCTTGGAGAACTCTTGGGCCATCTGTAAACAATATTGGGCGGATTTAGGGCTGCTCTGAGCCTCGGGGGCGGGTCCCGGAGGGCTCCTGGGAGGGGGGCACTACCTATGTACAAGGGGGGGCCCTGCGGGTCCCTGGGGTCGGAATCCCCCATATATGTATATACATATACATATACATATACATATACATATACCGTGTCGCACAAAGCGCACCCAGAAAGCTTTGGGACCTAAGAGGCACAGTGGAGGAGAGGGAGTCCTGTCCTCGACGCGGGAGGGAGAGGCAGGGAGGGGAGCAGGGAGGAGCCTAGACATCCAAGGCCGTGTCTTTTGTCTACGCGCGGCCCCCAAGCCTCTCGGCTCCGTCCCCGGGAACTGTGCTCTTTTCGGTCCTGGAGCCCCGAAAGCGGCCCCCAGGCGACGGAAACAGCGAAAACCAGCCCGGCGACGGACCCAATAGTATGCAGTTGTGAGTACCGCAGTTGTGGACATCGTCTTCGGTAGAGCGCCCTCCGGTGCCGCGAAACGCTGTGCCGGGCGGGGGGGGCGCATGCGAACTTTGCCACTGGGGCCTTCGGTGGAGCTCCCTATGAGGCCACGAAACGCTGTACTGGGTGGGGCCACCGCATGCGGGAGAAGCCACTGGGGCCTTCGGTGGAGCTCCCTACGGGGCCACGAAACGCTGTGCTGGGTGTGGGCACCGCATGCGAGAGCAGCCACTGGGGCCTCAAGTGGAGCTCCCTACGAGAGCAGCCACTGGGGCCTTCGGTGGAGCTGCCTATGGGGCCTCGAAAACTGTACTTGGTGAGGGGACCGCATGCGAGAGCAGCCAGTGGGGCCTTCGGGGGAGCTCCCTATGAGGCCACGAAAAGCTGTACTAGGTGGGGGAGAAGCATACTGATAAGGGCGAGGGCGAGAAGGTGGAGGAGGGAGGGAGGAGGGGGAGGAGGGCGGGAGGTGAGGCGAAGGGAAGCAGGGCGCTGTGCATTCAAAACGAATACACAAAACCACAGAATTGTTGAGAAAATGGACGCCTTGATTTGCACAAAAGAATTTCAACGTCTAGGATAGGGCTCGGTACCCTGGCGTGGCCTTCTCCCAGTCGTTGGTCTCGCACCAGCACTTCAGCTTCTCGTACAGCTTCTGATCCTCGTCCATCTCCTGCCCCACTCCGCGCTCGCACGCGCAGCTGGGCCAAGGGAACAAGGGGTAGCAGGGGGAGGAGGAGGAAGAGGAGGAGGACGAGGAGGATGAGGAGGGAAACGCGTCCTCCTCCTCCTCCTCCTCCTCCTCCTCCTCCTCCTCCTCCTCCTCCACCCTACTCTTTCTGCTCACTCCTCGTTCTCCTCCTCCTCCTCCACCTCCTCCTCCTCCTCCCTCTACGCCTCCTCTCCTCATCATCAACCAACCACTCTACCAATCACAGTCTCTTACGGCTCAAACTCCTCCACTGCCTCCTGCTCCCCCTGCTTCTCATTACCCCCCTCACCACGCTCAACATCCTCGTCCTCCTCCCCTTGGTCTCGCTCTCCTCCTCTTTATCCTCCATATCCTCCTTCTCCTCATTCTCCTCATTCTCCTTATCCTGCTTATCCTACTTGCAAAGACCGTCACCCTAAGCGTCACAATGGCAGTCTGACCCTCGGCCAAGCCAGGCTAACTTGTCATAGCACTGTGACGTCGATGACAACACAAAAAAGGTACTCCTCCTGGCTACCCTCCTCCTCCTCCTCCTCCTATTCCTCCTCCTTATTATTACTATTCTCCTCCTTCTCGTCATCGTCATCATCATCAGCATCATCAGCATCATCATGATCAGCGCCATCATCACCATCACCATCATCACCATTACCATCATCATCATCATCATCATCATCAGCATCATCATCAACATCACCATCACCAACAACAACATCACCACGATCATCATCATCATCATCATCATCATCATCATCATCATCACCACAATCCTCACTTTCACCACCATCACAACCATCATCAACATGATCATCATCATCAACAGCAACTTCACCATCATCATAATAATCATAATAATCATAATCATCATAATCATCATCATCAGCCGCAGCAGCATCGGCATCATCATCATCATCAGCATCATCATCATCATCATAATCCACAGCATCATCATCATCATCATCATCATCATCAGCAGCATCATCATCATCATCATCATCATCACCATCATCATCATCATCATCATCATCATCATCATCATCATCATCATCATCATCATCATCATCATCGTCATCATCATCATAATCATCATCATCATCATCACCATCGTCATCATCATCATCATCAGCATCATCCTCATCATCATCATCATCATCATCAGTATCATCATGATCATCAGCATAATCATTGTCATAAGCATTATCATCATCACCACCACCACCGTCATCATCATCAGCATCATCATCAGCATGACCAGCATCATCAGCATCACCAGCAGCATCATCATCATCATCAGCATCATCATCAGCAGCATCATCATCATCATCAGCATCGTATGCATCATCAGCAGTAGCAGCATCTTCACCGTCGACATCATCACAATTATAATGATCGTCATCAGAATCATCATCATCAGCAAAATCGTCAGCATCATCATCATCGTCATCAGCATCATCATCAGCATCATCCGCAGCATCATCATCAGCATCAGCATATCATCGACGTCGTCGACATCGGCATCGTCATTATCTCGTCATCATCGGCGTCGCCATCATCATCATCATCATCATCATCGTCGTCATCATCATCGTCATCATCATCGTCAGCAGCAGCTCCATCATCGTCACCATAGCATCGAAATCTTCATCAGCATCATCAGCGACATCATCATCAGCAAAATCGTCATCATCATCGTCATCATCGTCGTCGCCATCATCATCATCATCATCATCATCATCAGCATCATCATCATCATCATCATCATCATCAGCATCACCATCATCATCAGCATCAGCATCAGCATCATCATCACCATCATCAACATCATCATCATCATCATCATCATCATCATTACCATCACCATCGCCATCACCATCATCACCATAGCAGCATCACCATCGTCGCCGTCATCATTATCATCATCATCATCGTCATCAACCTCATCATCAGGATCGTCATAGCATCACCTTCAAAATCATCAGCAGCATTATCAGCATCAGAATAATCATCATCATCATCATCATCATCATCATCATCATCATCACCATCAGCTTCATCATCATCAGAATCTTCATAAGCAGCAGCTCCATCATCATCACCAGTGCATCGTCATCATCAGCATCATCATCAGCATCATCATCGGCATCATCATCAGCATCATCAGCAGCAAAATCATCGTAAACATCGTTATCATCATCAGCATCATCATCAGTACCATCATCGTCACCATCGTCATCATGGTCATCATCATCAGCATCATCTGCATCATCATCAGCATCTGATTCATCATCAGCATCATCATCATCATCACCGTCGCAATCATCATAATCAGAATCATCGTCGTCATAATCATCATCATCATCATCATCATCATCATCATCATCATCATCCTCAGTATAATCATCATCATCATCATCATCATCATCCTCATCATCATCATAATCATAATCATAATCAGCATCGTCAGCATAGATATGGTCATCATGGTCATCATATCAGCGAGGTCGTCGACATCGGCATCGTCCTTATCATCGTCATCATCATCGTCGCAATCATCATCATCACCCTCATCAGCACCATCAGCATCAGCATCATCAGCATCATCAGCATCAGCATGATCACCATCATCACTGTCACCATCACCATCATAACCATAGCATCGCCACAATCGTCACCATCATCGTTATCATCATTATCATCAACATCATCATCATAGCATCACCTTCAAAGACATCAACAACATCTGCATCATCATCATCATCATCATCGTCATCATCATCGTCATCATCATCGTAAGCAGCAGCTCCATCATCGTCACCATAGCATCGAAATCTTCATCAGCATCATCAGCGACATCATCATCAGCATCAGCATCAGCATCGTAACCATTGTCATCATCATCATCATCATCATCATCATCATCATCACCATCACCATCACCATCACCATCATCATCATCATCATCATCATCATCATCATCGTCATCGTCATCGTCATCGTCATCGTCATCATCGTCATAATCCTCATCATCGTCATCTGCATCAGCAGCATGAGCATCATCACCGGGAGTCGCCTTCTCTAGCGTCTCTTGCATGCTCTTCAGCAGGCCGACGACCTTCGCCAAAGGCGTCTCCCCGCCCGCGTCGAGGACCGCGCTCCAGGTCTGCAGCAGGGAGCCCGCCTGCCGCCCTGGAGGCCCAGAGAGGAACCCCAGGAGGCCAAGGGGGAGGAGTCAGAGACCACCGGCGGCGAACGAGGGGGGGAAAGTGAGAAAGAGAAGGCCCTCTGAGGGGGCGGCGGGGTTGCCCAGAAGCCCGTCGGCCTTCTGAGAGATTCTCTGTGTCATCGGGGACAGCGATCTGACCGATGAGCCGCCCGCCCCGTCGAGCGGCGTCCTCGCCTCGCTCCTCCTCCTCCTGCATGGTGGCACAACTCGCTCTAATGGCATCCCGTTGAAGACCCTCATCGCCAGCGCAGTCACCCTCTGCCTAGCCGCCTGAACAGCGAGGAGGAGGAGGAGGAGAAGGAGGAGGAGGAGGGAGGAGCGAGGAAAAGGAGGAGCGAGGAGGAGGAGGCGAAAGCGGAGGAGTCACCCTCTGCCTAGCCGCCGACGAAAAAAAGTATCATTCGAGAAGCCGGGGGGACTTTCCAGCCTGCCGAGAAAGCGAGCCCCCCTCTCACTTTTCCCCCCGGGCGCGCCGCCAAACCAGGAGCGACAGTTCTTGTTGCTGAGAGGAGAAGGAGGAGGAGGAGGAGGAGGAGGAGGAGGAGGAGGAGAAGAGGGAGGAGGGAGGGGGAGAGCAAGGGGAGGAGGAGGAGGCGGAGGAGGAGGAGGAGGAGGAAGAGGAGAAGGAGGAGGAAGAGGAGGTGGAGAATGAGGAGGAGGAGGACGATAGAGGATGGAGGAGGAGGCGGAGGAGGCGGAGGAGGAACGATGAGGAGCGAAGACGAGCGAGGAACAGCGAGGAGGAGGAGCGAAGAACAACGAGGGGGAGAAGGAGGAGGAGGAGGAGGAGGAGGAGGGGGAGGAGGAGGAGAGAGGAGCGAGGAGGAGGAGGAGTGAGAGGAGGAGGAGGAGGAGGAGGAGGAGGAGGAGGAGGAGGAACGAGGAGGTGCGAAGAGGAGGCGGAGGCGGAGGAGGAGGAGCGAAGAAGAGCGAGGAGCGAGGAAGAGCGACGAGGAAGAGCCTTCGGCGGCCTTCGGCCTTCCGCGAGTGCCCTCGGCGAGTGCCTGCGGCGGCCACGAGGGGATTTCGGCGGCCCGCGAGCGCGGGCGCAGGGCCTGCGATGGAGGACCAGGCAGGAGGAAGATGGCGAGGGGGGAGGGGGGAGGGAGGAAAAGGAGGAACAGGAGGAGGGGAACAGAAGAAGGAATACCAAGAAGAGGACGAGGAACAGGAGGAGGAGGAGGAGGAGGAGGAGGAGAAAGAGGAGAAAGAGGAGAAGGAGGAGGAGGAGGAGGAGGACGAGAAGGAGGAAGAGGAGGAGCGAAAGGAGCGAGAAG